TAGAAATTGAATATGAGCACCTTCCACGCGGGCGGTGCTTGGAGAATAAATACCGGCTAAAATGCATTAGCAGCAACTGTGCGTGCAATATTACTCTCTAAAATGTGCAGAGATTATTTTCTTACTTTCAGGAAAACTAATATTGTTTCCACTCACGTCACAACGAATATCCTCATACCTTCCGCGTCTATTACTTCACGCAGCATTTTATGTGTAGTAATTCTGCTGCGAGGTATAAATACACCTGCCTCTCTTTGTTTTATTCCACGCTGTAAACTAAAATCACTGGCCTTGAGTAACCGTTGGCGGGCAGACTCATTCATCCTCCTTAAAGTAAAACAACGCCGTATTTTCCGACCTTTCACTTTGTTTATGCTTTTAATAAGCACAGTCATAAAAGAACCGCTATTTATCCGACTGCTCATTCGAGGAGGTCGGTAAATTCTGTTGAAGAGGTAAATATCACATGCTGAGCTGCTCTGAGGGACACCTGGTATCCGAAACACTTTGTGCACAAAGACAGGATTCACTGCAAGATGGAGCGCGAAAAGGTAGGTGCGTGCTCTCTTCTGTACTTCTGACACATAAAGCTGTGATTTTCTGACATTATTGAGACAAGCCGACTATATTAAATCTAACAACTTACTAAAAATATGGCTTCCACGTTTCATCTGTGTTAATTCAAGTGCAGGACAAAGTGCCTGTAGGCCATGTTGAAACATGGCTGTTAAAACATGCAACATTTTACTATGAATTCTACCAGGAAACAAACCCAGAGTGTGTTGCAGCAGACTGACGCTTCATTCTTAAGAATCCAGTGGCAGAGCCCTGAACTCAAGAGGACAGTATTAGAAAGGCAGCTTTCCAAAAAAAGGGGGGGGGAAGAAGAAAGACGAGAGAGAGAAAAAGCTTTTTCACTTGATTCGAGATAGGGGCGAGGAGCGAGGGATTAGGAGGATAACAAAAAGGCCAACGGACTGAGTGTAAACAAGAAAGGGGGTTAGGAAGGGATAGAAGGAGAGAGCAAGTTGGAGAGGGAGCGGGAAGGAGAGATTGAATAGTGACACTGCTACAACACAATGGGGTCAGGATGAAGAAGTGCTCCTAATTGAACCAGATAGAGGAGAAGACAGAGAGAGGAGAGGAAGGCAAGAGAATCACATGTGATTTCCTTCCTTTTCTTCTCTCTGTTCTCATCCACCATAGGTGTAGCAGAGACGGGGAGAGAAGGAGGGGGTAAAATGTTACAAGCAGAGATTGGTGGCTGAGTAGGGAACAGAAACCAAATATGTCTGACCAGTTGTGCAACAGAAGGTGTTGAAAAGATGGTTTGGAGCCACCTTGACTTCACAGCAGGGGTCTGACAGAGCTGTTTGGGGCTCAAAAATAGCTTAGGAGAAACGTGAGAGGCCTGCTTAAACAGTGCCTGTGGATCTACATCATTTCTTCCATTAAGTTAAAAAAAAAGAAAGACAGACAGAGAAGGTGACTGCTGCAAGGCTGATAGAGGCTTTAGAAGCAAGGCTCACAAGAGAAATAAACAACTGATGAAGTTCAAGTGTGATGGTACAAATACGTCAGCTCGGGCCAGACAGAGCACATCATTTTCTTCCCTTTAGAGGGGGCAGATTAAGAGAAATAGTAGACACACACAAACACAGACTGGTAAACATAAGAAAAATGGGGTCTTACTGTATGTTAGAGCTGTTCCAGTAAACGGTATGCCTGTTGGCTGACACCTGGAGCAGGTTCGCCCAGGTGAGACTTATTAGCACCCAGAGAGACAGCGCTACCAGAGCCATGCTCTCGGCTCCTCTCTCGGCCTCCGATCCTTTGGTCTCTCCGGCCACACTCTCGGTCCCTTCACCCCACCAACCAACGCGACTCAAACATCCCAGCAAATGCCTAACAAACGGGAGAGGGGGAAAACAGATGCTTCATGCATTCATACAAAACGTTCAAAGTCCATACCTGATGTAGTAAATAAGTGTTGGAAAAACTCAAAAGTCTATAGCGCTGTAAAGTAACTGAGAACCCTCCCCTCCTCCGTAAACCAGACCTCCTTCCCTCCCTCCCCAACAAATCCTGGGGGCTTCAAGTAAAAAAAAAAAAGAAAAAGAAACGGGGAGGGGGGGGAGTATTGTCCGTATGTGCGGTCCCCCCTGCTTTTTCTGACTGAGCTGATCCTCTCTTCTCACCGGGAACTGCTGCTTGTGAACCCGCCAGAGGAGTGTGGGAGGACGGTACTGGGTCCAAACGGGAGGTCGGTCTTTCGTTGAGCACCAAACAGCCCGGTGCGCCGGGAAAGAGTTACGTGCTGCAGATGTGGAAGGAAAAAAACAAGGCTCAGGCTACTGAAGAAAAAAAATGAAGGATGAAAAAACGATGCAAAAATCAAAGATACTGAGCAAGTCCACCTCTTTTTGTCCCTAACTGTTCTTTTTCTTCTTTATCAGGATGCTACTGCAGTTCTTTTTCCGTCCAAGGATCCGAGAAACGCAAAGCACACCACTGAGCTCTATTATCGCTGCAAACAATTCAAGCAGCCAGTTTCATTAGGTCTTCAAGACTCTTTCCGACAACCATCCTTTACGGTGAGCACCCTGCCCACCCGTCTCTCTCCCTTCTCTCTCTCTCCTCCTTCTCCGCCTCTCTCTGTTTGGTAGGCAGCACTCGTTCACTTTTTAACTCCACCCCCAGCGAGCGACAAAAGCGCATTCCTCCAATATCGTGGCCGAGCTGCAGTCCATCAGGCATCACTGCAACTTTAAGTTTTTTCTTCTTCTTCTTTTGGTCAACTGTTCGACCTCCACCGATGGCGTGAAAGTAAAAAGCTCCGAATCTCCCTCGGTGCCAGAGAAGTCTGCAGCGACCATCTGTATTTATACCCCCTCACCGCACTCAAACACACACACCGAAGGACGTGTGTGTGTGTGTGTGTGTGTGTGTGTGTGTATCCTTGAGTTGTCGGATGTTTCCGTTTATTACAAAAGCTACAAACACGCATACACTGGCGCACTTGCAGGCCTGTTCTCCACAACTGCCCGTCTTTGATCCCCAGACACTGTAAGTCAGTTTAATACAGCGCTGTTGGAGCATCACCTGCTATTCTGTTATTGGTGCAGCGCACGCAGGCTCGTCCGTGCGCTGCGGGCACTAATACACAGAAATATACAAACTGTACCCTTGCAGATAAGTCATGTGCCTCCGTAATATTAAGATTCAGCCTTTTTTTTAATGCACAAATAGATCACATCCAGACAGTGTCTGATAGATTCTGAGTTCTTTGCATGTCCTGCAGGGACAAGGTGTAATCCCCTCCCCACCACGACCACCACTTTCACCTCCACTGACACAACCATGTGTTTAAGGTGTGTGTGTTTGTGTGTGTGTGACACAGAGAGAGAGAGACAGACCAGACAGGAAAGGAGACACGTGGAGAGAGGGAGAGAAAGAGAGAAATTGCAGGTAGGAGAAAGATTGTTACAGTTTTCTAGCTGCCTGCTGGGAATGAGTTGGTTAAGGATAAGTCAGAATGATTTATTGGGAGAAAAAAGGAGGGAAATGGGAAGAAGGGGCGCAAGAAAGAGAGAGAAAGGGATGAAATGCCATTGGGGAATCCCTCTGTCTTCTCCGGTACTTCCAACCCTTTCACAAGCTGTCCATTTTATCCCCCTCTGTCTCTGTCCATCCTTGCTTCCTCTTCTCACCTTTTTTCCCCCCTCAGATTTCGATGAAAATTCTCTCCTCTGTGTGCAACGTTCTACCTGGTAGTTTGCTTCTGTCCTTTGTTAGCTCTGTTTCTGGTGGTGTCCAGATCTCCTCTGCTTCTCTCTCCATCTCTGTTACATCAAGGAGGCTGTTTTTTTTAATAAGCACTCCTCTTTTTCCTTTTCTCCTTGCCCCTCTGTCTATCATTCTTCCTCAGCCTGTCCAGTTCATAGATCTTGTTAGACAGTGTAGCATCACAGCAGCACAGTCAAACATCTGGTACAGTTAATTAGTGAATATTTGGTCTCGTATTCAATCGTTCTGCCTTAAAAAGACTGGTGCTTGAACTTTGAGAAAATGATATTCTTTCAGAGCGTGAGGTTACTCTGTGTGCTAAATATGAACAAGGTTATTTTCAGCTCAGCATAAATTGTGCTTTCTTCTGAAGCCCCCCTCCTTTGTTTTTTTCCTCTACCTGCCCACTTTTAATTGCATGCTGCCACCATGATAGAAAACGGTAATAAAAAAAAGTTTCAAAAATAAAAACACACTTTCCATTTTCAGATTTTGTGCTAAGCTAACTGCTGACTAGCATCTTAATCAGCAGTCGGATATATTTCATTTTTCACAAAATAAGTAAATTTATTATCACTCAGCCTTTATAATGTTGACCAGTTTTATTCCTGGCTATGATGCAATATTAAAAACTCGAGGGACACTTATTAACTTTTTCTGGGGGTTTAACTTCCATCTCATTGCCTCTTTATTGCAAATGAAATTTGTTCAGGTGTTATTGTGTAACCTTACAGTGGGGGAAATAATCTTTTGATCCCCTGCTTAATTTGTAAGTTTGCTCACTTACAAAGAAATGAACAGTCTCTAATTTTAATGCTGGGTTCGTTTCTATGGAAAAAGACAGAATAGCAACCGAATCGCCCTCGGTCTAAAGCTCCTCACAAGATCTTACCTCATGGGGCGAGGGTGATCGTGACGAAATGAGAAAGATGGTGGATCAGCTCACAACTACACAGGAGGAGCTTATTTGTGATCTGAAGGCAGTTAGGACCTAAGTCACCTAGAACACCAATGGTAGCACATTATGTCGTAGTAGATCGAAACCTTCACTGCCTGCAAGATCCTCCTGGTCTAGAAAGTGCACATACGTGCCCGTCTTTGCCGGTGAACATCTGAACGATTCACAGGAAGCTTGGGAGAAAGTGCCGTAGTGAGATGAAACTAAAAAGCACGCTCTTTGGCATCAATAAGACACCTCATGTTTGGAGCAAGAGAAATGCTGAATATGACCCAGAGAACACCATCCCCACAGTCAAGCACAGAGGTGGAAACATTGTCTGTTTTTCTGATAAGGGTACAGGATGACTTACTACTAATGGACGGGACCATGTGCCGTATGAACCTCATTCCCTCAGCCAGAACACTGAAGATGAAAATTACCCAAAACATACCACCAAAGTAAGAAGAGGAATGACTAAAGAAGAACAATAAGGTCATTTAATGGCCTAGTCAGCCTCCAGACCTCAGTCCTAGACAAACTCTGTGGAGGGAGCTGAAGCTGTGAGTTGCCAAGTGTCAGCCAATAAACCGAAAGAGTGTCTGTAAAAAGGAATGGGCCAATATCCCTCCTGAGATGTGTGCAAACCTAGTGACCAACTATAAGAAACGCCAGTCATTAAAAAAATAAACAGTTCAAGATGTTTCCTCCTATAAGGTGGGATGACACGGTTAAAAGACTAGAATATTTGTGAAGCGTGCATCTTTAACAGCAGCGTCTGTGGTTTATCCAATCTCTATTTCTTCAGTAACAAAAACACTGAATATTTTAAATTGGTTTATTGTGAACGGAAAAAAGGTGACTATAGAAGCAGGTGAGGAAATCGAAATCACCAGTTAGGTAAACATGCCCTTTATATCTCATCCTATAGCACATGGGCGACTGAGTGTATACAGGCTACAAGATACTGGCAGTAAATATCTTATATGACTGTGTTTTAAAGGAAACTATAGATCAAGAAGACAAAGTTGTCCCTCACAGAGGCACGGTTTTGGTCCTTTTTTGAATAATAAAAATTCGGTTTCTCGCTTTTCCATTTGGTTTCCCTTAAACAGACGCTGACATGCTCTGTTTCAGCAAACGCCCCTGTCAATTCTAATCATCCAGGTTGGATTTTTCAGGCGTGGGTTGCAGTGCTATTGGATTACTTTTGTATTGGGGTTATTATGAGAAACGACCTCGGGGCTGACTGCATGCGGTGACACAGAGGCTCTTATGACATTTCCAACCCATAGCCGGCCAACAACACATCTGTCAAGGGCTTCTTTCTGAAACCTCGAAATCTAATCGGAGCTTTCTCATAGCACTGATAATTGGATATTAGGCCCCTATAGGGCTCACATCCCTCTCCTGGGGCACCAGGAAGTAAGCACTGCAGAGATGAATTCAGCAGGGCTCTTGTATGTGCATGAACATCATGTGAATATACAGCAAAGCCTTTTTTTGTTGAATACTTTTGTTCTGATGGCATTCTTGAACTGGAAGTCTCTTTCTCACTCTGCCTCCTGCTCGCTCCGTTTCTTGGCCTGCTTCGCTGTTCACTGTTGTGTTAGTAAATTGTACTGACACTCCTCCCGCCTCCTCCCGCTCCCTCACCACCTCTGCTGCTCTCCCTCCCTCCCTGTCCCTCTCTCACCCGACTGACTGACACGAATTTTCAATTTCTCTGTTTACCTTTCACCGCTGTGCCTAAAACAACACTGGTACAGCCTAAGAGCAAGGAGGAGAAGACCGGGGGAGTGTGTGTGAGGGGTGGAGATGGAGATGAGTACGGAAGAGTGTCGTAGGAGGGAAAGAAAAGAGGGGGAGAGAAGGAAAGGTGCCACTAAGATTGGATGAGGAAGAGGGGGTGGATGCCAAAAAAAATGAAAGAGGTGCAAAAAGAGAGAACGGGGCTTTCTATGTGTTTTGGTTGGAGGGGAATCCAAGGGGGAAAGAGGAAGAAAAAGGAGTGAGGGGTTAAGGGAAGGAGAAGGGGAGCTGATACTTTCGAACAGTCACGCACTGATCCAGAGGAGGACGCAGGAGATGAGAGAGAAGAGGAGTAAAGAGAGGGAGAGGAGAGGAACTGAGAGAGTGGAAGCCAGGGTTGGGAGAAAAAGTTAGATGGGGCACAGAACATTAGGAGTGCAATGAGATATAGAGAGTGGGGGTGGCGGGTGGGGGGTGTAGAGATTTATAGAGGTACAGAAAGAGGGAGAGGACAGCAAGAGTGATGTGTGGAGAGAGGGTTTTTTAAGACGAGGAAGAGATGGAGGAAGAGGGGGTAGAGAGGGCGTATATAGAAAGAGAGAAAGAAAGAGAGAGCTCAGAATAGATACGCTCTCAACGGCATGAAATATTGAACGAAGGAGACGAACACAAGGAGGGGCGAAGAAAATGGAGGGCCTGATAAAGACAAATACAATCGTTTTGTGTGTGTGTTTATGTGTGTGTGTGCGCGCGCGTTGTTTTGGAGACAGAGGAAGATGAGAGGGAAGAAGAGTAGGCGACAGGAATATGAAGAATAGTCGCTTGTGACTGGAGACCATCACACACGCGTGTACACACACACACACACACGAGTGCACGCACTGATGTTGCTTTGAGTTTAGATTATTCCCATGTGTGGTGGAGCTGGAGTGGAATTTGGTGGTGTTGAAAATATCACAGTGCAGAATACGTTTCATCACTACTTGCACCATCCCAACACACACTCAAGCGCCCATACGCACTGGCACGCATGCACCCCCACCCCACACACACGCGCGCGCGCACACCCCACTCCCACATCCTTTGATCTCACTTCTCACTGATCTTCTCCCCTTCCATGTCAAATATTTAGGCTGCGTTTGGCAGGTTTGACGAAAATTACCATGGA